AGCACAGCTATTCAGTTCTTGTTCTTGAAGATCTTAGAAATGCTGATAATTATGGCTCATCGAGTAGACTCCACTGTCGCAAATCAATCTATCCTCATGTTGATACATAAACTTCAACTTGCCTTTGAATGTCTTTATCAAGTTAAACTCATTTTGGCCAAGATCAGTTGTATCATCATTAGTATGAAGGAATATGATCTGAGGGCTAACATGCTTGATCTTTTATTCATAACCTTTGTACTTTAGTCCTGTGTCTATCTCGTAGTCTAGGTCAAAGTTATAGTTATTGCAGACTGATTTGATTAGGAATTTCTGGTGTGAGATCTACTTATGAGTTTCTCTGTATATTCTGATTGGCTTCTACAAATTGTCGAGCCTCAAAGCAGCCTATGTAAAAAACTCGACATCGTCTTGTGTGATCTGGAGTTTACTTTCAACCAAAGTCGTGAGTCTTTTCTCCACTTGTCTTAAAGACATATTCGACTGGTCATAAACCATCTTAACCATTTGCTGCATATCTGTGACAATGACATCTATGCCACTCTACATAATCTCAGACTACTTCTAAAGTTGAGTCAGCTGGTAGACAACTAGCTTAATCATGTCTACCTGCTCACTGAACTAGGCATTCTTAAACTTCTAAGAGTCAAACTAAAAGGGAAGGTCGTTCTTCTAGAGTGAGAATCCGAACTTCATTAGCTTCTTGAACTCCTTGCTCTGAGATCTCATGCCTCTCCTATTTTTCTCCTTTTCGGTGAGTTTTCCATCAAAAGTATTGGTCTTCTTTTTGAGGTAGAGCTCTGTTTCCAATATGGCTATTTCCCTGAAGAAGTCATCATTGGTCTTGTCTGTAAAGGCTTTTTCCATGTTCCTAGTTTCTCTTGGATCTTTCTAAGATGAATATCTCTCTGACTGGGACTCGCTCTTTCAAAGGCAATTACCTTTATATTGTCATTTATAGTCTCACTTTACTTAACTTGCCCAGCTATCTCTAGACCTTCAAGTTGAAGTGGCTTTGAGTGAAACCCAGTCCTTGTCACATCGAATATCTGCAGTGTATTATTGTTCGACTGTCCCAGAATTATCGGCATTAGACTTAGATCAAATATTGGTAGACTAAAGAGCAACTGCTGCTGAAATGCCCCGACCTTTCTAATTTTATGCTACTGATGATTTTGCATGTCCATCAAAATGATCTCACTCCCTGTTAGAATAGCCATAGACATCTCATCTGTGAATTCATAATCTAGGATTCCTCCTTTCTTGCTAGCTATTACCTACCTTTTGCTCTCCTTAGTCTTCACTAAATTAATCTCTACTTTCTAGATCTGAGTGTTATTCAGAAGTGCATAAAAGTAGTGAGAAGCGTCATTCGGTCTGTAGGGGTTGCGCTTCAAACTATGATAGAAGTTTTTATCTTGATTGGTGAAGCTCTTTTACCTGATTTTCTCAAGTAGATTGCCGTTCATTTAACATATTGAGACCTTGTTTTAATGCGAATGCGATATAAGTAAGTTCTAGGGGTCTAAGGCTATAGCTCCCACAAACTCTCTCTAGTCTGGGAACTCCTGAAACTTAGAGAAGGATTTTAAGTCGTAGCACCCAGTATTTGTGATAAGTATATTCCCAAATCCATAGGCAAATTTAACAAACTAATCTGTTTAAAATGAACTGATCAATTTCATGTTGTTATACTGATCCATCCTGTAAAATTCGTTGTTGCGCATATTATCTTAGAACATAAAGGTACTTGAATTTATCTGGAAGACCTTGTTAGTATAGCTCTTATTAACCTTTGTCGCCATTTTCTTTTCAAGACTAAGCTTAATCTCTCTGTCAACTTTAAACTTCATGGGTTTGATGTTTTCCAAGGTGCTGATCTGAGTCTGATACTTGACCAGCCCGTCACATATTTACTCCAAGATGTTCAGTGACTGCTTATTTGTATTGTTAATATCTCCCTCCATTACTCCAAACTAATTTTTGCCTATCATGCTATTAATCTTGATAAGTTTTTATTGCAAATTAGATATGATCTTGGTTGATGTCTTTTTGCACTGGTCCACAACGACCCTCACAGACTTCAGTACATTCTCCACTGATATAATCAACTGATCTGACATTGAAGCTACCTTAGTAGCCATTGCTATCAACATCTAAGTTTGCTTCATCTATTCCTGCAAATTATTAGTCTGCT